TATTTTTCATCACAAAATAGTAAATAGTATGATTGCATGCAGGCTTACTTGACCATAATGCACTAAATAAAACCCTCGGGCCTTTTTTATTCTCATTACCGACCATGGCTGTAAAAAACCTCGACTCCGAAAGATTCTAATAATCTCGTGTATCAATGTACTATCACAAAACTATAGCATTATATCGGGCATAAAAACAATAATATGTTAGATATATCTTCATTCAAACATGATACACTATAGAAAAAAGAACAACATCATTCTATTCATCAAACTTTCCACAGGCTGTCTTCCAATATCACTTACGATCCTTTGGATTTTCCTACTTACCAGTCGACCCTAACCAGCCCGAAGTTAATGTAGCGCGTCGGTGTTGCAAAGTGGCTAGAGACATTTTTCAATCGCTTAATGGCCCAGCTATATTGGCCTGTGTGTCAGTCCTTAACGGAATAATGTGTTTGGTGACCATGCTTTAAGAAAGTGTAGGATATCTTAAGCCAATTACCTACTTAAACAAAATAGAGAAGGCTACATTTCGTTATTTTGACAAAGTACCGGCACCGGTGTGTCGTTATTTTGAGACATCAATGGGGTTCACAAAAGGAGCACCCCCGCACGACGTACCATTCCTTACCCGTATATCTGGCACATCAGGCACATCTGGCCAACAATTGGCGTGTACATTACGCCGACTGGCAATTATTTTCACCACAATGGCAAAAAATTATAGTGTATGCCAACTATTGAAAAGTCTCATGTGCCTGTAATTCTACCAGAACCCTTATCTTTGACTGAAATGCAGTAATGCTCACATTATTGCTTGGCGGTAGAAATAGGTAAGGTGGCAGTACTTTCGTGGACAAACTCACAAAAACCTCTACTGCTACTAGTATCTGGAGCTAAGTAGTAAGTACTAGTATCTGGAATGATAAGTCAATAACGTGGGGACTGCAATGCTTTCATTATTGCTTGGCGGCAGTAAGAGGTAGGTAAATGTTGCAATACGTCTGTGGACGAACTCTTTCACAAGGAGCGCTACTGCTACTAAACTATACTGTAACGGATGCTCATACGCCGGGTAACAAACTAATTTGCCACGTGATTTATGTTAATAGTTTAAGCTTATGCAAATTTCTGATTGGTCAGTCGCATCTAGTAGCAGTAGAGCTGCTAGTGAATGAATCCGTCTAGAGAACTGCCATTAAGCTATTTTTGTTTTCAAACAGAAACGTGAGCATTGCTGCGTTCCGGTATTGAAGGGTAAGTGTGCTGGTGAAACCTCATCCTCAATATATCATCATTAATCCATTTATACGTCCTACTGCCGGGCACGGGTCTGTTCTCAGGAGAGGGTTTAGGCCATAATACTAACTTCACACGTTTTCCGAGGGTTGCAAACCGTCTTCAACGGTAGCTTTCATCACAACGTTTGCCTTCACCGAAAAGTTCATGGTAAATGTCAAATAAATTTCGCATATTAATTCCGAGAAACTCAGAAGTTCATACCTTGATTCGAACCCACGGTCTCTGCTTGAGAGGCGATAGGTTACCACGGCTTGTGCCCATCCATATAATACTTGTAAATTTCAATTAAAATTTCCATTGTCATTTTACGTTTCAGGGGTGGCGAGTGCAGTGACACTACCTCTCTGATTTCTAGGATTTAAAGCTCTTAATGGCATGGCTCTTGTTATGGCATGACATGTCGCTTATCAACAGGCGCATGAATTGTTTGTCCGGTCACTTGTTAACATAAAAAAAATATTTCTCGCCACTGTAATACGGCCGTATCTTTTTATTACATCTGTATAGTACAGTGACGTGCAGTTGAAAGCCAAAACTCATCATTGAACAACTATTTCTAGGCATTGAACCCGGTGAATAAATGCTGGTAAGTCGAATTTATATTAGAAAACCTGTAAAGAATGAGGTCAAAGACAAAATATCATTTATTGCATTTGTAAAATTTTTACACTCGAAAACGTTATTTTTTAAGCTACTGCTCGTTCACTACGCCGACCTCCCTGACAAAAACGAGCAAGAAACTTTAGTGATTGCTCTTGTTCCTATTTTTAAATAAACTTAAATGCTATGGAATACACTTTGAATCATAATTGTGTGGAATCTAGACTCTTGTTGTCTTTCCATACTTCTTCATCTAACACATTCGCTTCAATTTTGTAATATGACTTTTCAATTAAAATACTTTTAATGTAAGTTATATACTTAGGAAATGATAATAATGATAATGTATTCTCTAGAATCGTATTGTAAAAACGTATACAGTTCCTCATAAAAGAATCGTTTACCTTAGCTAAACGAAATCGTTGTACCATGAGTTTGGACTTAGTTCTACGGTTAATATCATGGATATTAAAATAATAAAATAATTAAATTATGTATATTTTTACGGGCATACAAAATATTTGAGTAAAAAGAGGAATTATGGTGACTTTAGATCGTGGAGATTGCTCGACGGGAAGTCCCAATTGCTTGTAATTTCACCAGCACCCTTCAAAACAGGAACACAGTAATGCTGACATTACTGCTTGGCGGCAGAACTAGGTAAGGTAGCAGTCCCTGGACGAACTCTTTTACGAGGAACGCTTCTGCTACTAAATTTATTTTTCTGTTTTGTGTAATAGTTTTTGTTTTGTGTAATTTTATAATGTACTATTTTATAATGACAGTACTTTTTAAAGAAAACACTTCTATGACGGCTTTTTGTAGTAAAGATTAAATAGTGTCTAGTTTGCATTTTTTCTTCTCCTATTTAATTATAATCTTGACAAAGCGGTCGTCGCCATCATGAAATGTGTTTGTCAGGGGGCGATGTCACTCGCCTCATGATATCTCACCATTTCTGTTGATTGATGGGATTTCCGTTTACTGAAGAACAAAACGTAATATAGTATGTCATCAGTAGGTAACAGCAAAAAATGTTACTGAATGACATAGCGTTAAGAAATTTAAATATAAAGTCCCTAGTGTACGCGTTATGTTGGTAACCCTAGTTACGGGAGAAGTATACAATGTAGAGGCAGTTATGGCAAACATTTACGTTAGTACCTAATACTCAAAACATTATGTTTATTAAATTCTTATGCTATATAAAATGAGTGTCTTATAATTCATTCGTCTACCCACGTCTCTGTAAGGATCTGAATTTACTATTACCTCTAAATAATCGCCGAAAAATCTTTGATATAGCGTATATTCTAAACATTATAAATGGTAATGTTGACTGCTTTGACCTACTGGGTGATATTTCGTTTAATATACCTACGCATTCTATGCGACACTATCGCCCTGTTGCAGTTCCCTTAGCGAAGACTAATTATAGACAAAATAGTTTGGTATGTAGAGTTAGCAAGAGCTTGGATAGTATGCTGAGCAATCATGACCTATAGGTTGATATATTTAATTGTAATGTTGATGCGCAAAAGCATAAACTCACGGACATTCTATTTAATTTTATTGAACATTATGTCTGGTCTTGGGTTGTTATAGTTATGTAAGTGCATGTTGTTAAGAAATACTCTTTATTGTTCGTTTGTTTAATTTTTGATTTATCTGAAGCTATAGGTGAATATCTGTAATTGGCTTTACGTTTCTTTTCCTGTTTTTATTAATATATAAATAAATAAATTGTGAATTGAAGAATGACAAACATCCATTATTAGTTGGTTTTACTGCATTAATGGTGATTTGTTTGATATCGGCCAAATTATCTTTGGCTTGAAAGCAAAAATATATTTGTAAATAAATCCAAACTACTCCCAACAAATTTAATTGATAAATAGCCAAACCTTATCTCTTTATACAATTACAACAAATTTGATATTATTTTAGATTGAAACGATAAAGAAAGAAATATTCGAACAGCGGTACTTTAAAAAGATAAAATTTGAAAAGACAAAATGTTTAGAATTTTCCGGTTGCTTTTTCTATGATACCAAATTACGGGAAAAGTAGCCCATGCACCTGGTGATAAGCGTCACTAAGAGCTGTAAATCGCAAAGTTCTGAAGGGTACACTCACTGCGCCTGTCACCCTGGGACATAAGTTGACAAAGCCCATATGCCTGTAATTTCACCATCACCTTCAAAACTGCTCTTCAAACTTCAAAAAATGTTCACATTGCTGTTTGGCGGCTGAAATAAGTAAGGTGGCAGTACTTCCCTGGATGGACTCTTTCACAAGGAGCTCTACTGCTGCTATTTCAAAGAAATAACATTCAAAATAACTGTTATAGAATACAGAGACACGTTAACTAACGAATAGCCATCATTAAGAGTCTTATCGTCAAAAATTACCAGCCATTAACCGTATCTTTGCTCGATTATAGTCCAATTGCGCAAGTTCGTCGATTACAAGGCGGCAGAAGTTGGATATTTGGCGTGAATATCCTAAAGTCCTGATTATGTTTAAGGCCATTTGTGACGAAACTTTTATTTCTTCAATCTATTTCGTCACTAGGAAAGTACTACCGGGTAAAAATAAGAACAAAAATGTACCGTTCAGTTCCATGCTGATCTGGAACCAGAAGAAAAACATAGAAGATATCAGCTGCTTATCATCCCGCGCAAGTTGTAAAAGTCGACTGAGGGATTAGGTTTAATAGTGTCCTATAGGTAGGCGACAGGCTGGCAACCTGTCACTATGGTGCACTAAGTTACACAAAATTATATACAATCTTAACCCAAACATATGCCAAATGTGGCTTTAGTTGTACTGCGTCACTTAAGGCTCTGCCTACCCCTATATGGGAACCCAAAGGCGTGAGTATATGTATGTAATAATGTACCAGACAATCACATCAGTACAGCAATGAAATTATGTCCGGGTGCTACCCAAACCAGAAACAATTTAGAAAAGTTTGATTCCCACAACAGAATCTCCTCATCTAGAGTCCACAAACCGTTAGTTACGCTAGTGTTGTAAATGTTTGTGAAATTAACTTTCATTTTTTGAACAAAAATAAAACAATATTTAGTATATGCCAATTCTTTAATTTCAGAATACGAACAGTAGTAACAACATAGCGTCATTATTAGTCTTCACTGGTCCTTAAACACAGTTCGTAACACCAGTGCTCTGATCATTAGCCAAAGCGGAACACACCAAACTCCTCAATCCCCGAAAACCTTGGTTATGTAAATTTCTATCAATGACGTCATTGAAATGGATGGAGGGAACGAAATTTATAATTCTCATGGGTTCTCTTGCTGCTTCCTGCGCTGCCTGATCCAGATGTACTCCAGTAATATACACGCAGTCTTCAAGTTCTCTTAAATTAAGACCAATATCTTGACCACAAGAGAACGAGCCGGTAGTTGCAGGGAAGGGACTAGTAAATTCACAATTCATGTAAGACATTTGGGCATCTTGGTCGCCACGCAACATATTCAAGGCGCATCTGTGCACACGGTTCGCGAAGCAATCGGTAGGTCCAAATTGACATGTCATCGTTCCATCGCTGGCGTAGGTTGTTCTGCCCCAAGGTACGAATTCCAGGGTCAAAAATTGTTTGTACGCCTGGTATGTTGGAGCCAATTCCTGTGTGATAAATCTTATTGTGTCACCACATCTTGATGTTGTTCCGACGGTTATTTTGATTTTGCCGTTGACTACTTCCAAATTGGTCGCTGTCGCATAATTAGAAACAACAGAAAAACACACCAAAATGTACAAAAACTTTGCCATGACTCTATATTTCAGGAACCACAATGAAAACGTAACTGCAATGTAAAGTCTTTTATAGCCTAAACAATTATTATCAATGATGTGCCCAATTGGTTTTTACGATAACATTGTGATTTAGACATAGGATAATGAGGCAGCTATCAGCTGTTATCAAAATAGAATACGCAAGGGCTGTGAATTTGGTTGCAAATTTTTGTAAGAAAGGAACTGAGACTTGATTTTTGTCTCTGTGGCATGACGCATTAGATCTATTTAACATTTTGTTTTTATCTTGTCACGCGTCCTTGGGACATTGTAATAATCATAATGATGTGAGCCAACTATGGCCCCTAACATGCAGCTGTGTCTTCTCTAGAGCATGTATTTAATGTCAAAATTGTAACTAAAAAATTACTCGAGCATTTCAATATTTGCATGCGACGTCGAATTCATTGGCCAATGAGTTAGTAGCTGTAAAGCTTCTTGTAAAAGAGTTCGTCCAGGGAAGTTCTGCCATCTTACCCATTACAGCCGCCATGACTGCGTTCCGATTTGGAAGGGTAAGTGTGCTGGTAGTACAGACACATGGGACTTATGAACTTATGTCTCAGGTTGATGGGCGCAGTGGCAGTACCCCTCAGATCTTTGCGATTTCAAGTTCTGAGTGACACTGTAACTGCTATGGACAGGTGTGTCGCTTACCACAAGGCGCACATATTCGTCCTGTCATTTGGCATCTTAAAAAATAATTTCAAAAACCACAACATTTTTATAAGGTTTCAAATCAAATATTCTGCATCAAGTATATTTCCTGGTATGATAATACGAAATAGCTGTAAAACAATTTTCAAGCCGGAACTCTCTCCCCTTTGAAAGTATTTCAAGGTAATCTTCTGAGATTACACCGCAAAAAACTCAAAACTCTTTAAGCCTCCATATTTCCTTTATGCGAAAAATATGTTTTTTTTTTCTGTACTTGCTGTTTAGAATAATAAACAGACGAACTTACTGCGTTACTAACAAAAAATATAATAGCGACCTTATTGGGGTTGCGTCGTGTAATATCCCCTTAATTTATGGCCTAAGTTATTATTAGAACTAATCCAAAGAGATGAGTACAAAGTTTTTTACGAATCAAATTTTTTTAACAAGTAAACGTTCTTTGTTTATTTGCTAGCATGACTTTTATTCAAACCATTATACCAACAGAGTATTATATGTACATAATATACCAGTCTCATATTATGTTGGTAATCTGATTATTCTTCACAGTACTGAAAACTATGAACGTAATTGGATAGTTTTTTATGATATTAAGACGAATAAGTCGTGCGCCTGATGATAAGCGATACGCCTATCTATAAGAGTTGCAACGTCACTCAAAGCTTTAAATCACAAAGATCTGACGAGCAGTGCCACTGCGTCTCTCACCCTGAGACATAAAATAGACACATCCCATATGGCTGTAATTTTACCAGCACCCTTTAAAACCGGGACGCAGTAGTGCCCGCATTGCTGTTTGGCGGTTGCAATAGATATAGCAGCACCTACTTCCTTGGACGAACTCTTTCACAATGAGTTTTACCGCTAGTGGTCTGCAGCTTTTTGGTAGTTTTTTCGAATGAATGTGATATGAGATTTTAATGTTGAGACGGAGCGGGGGTAATTAAACTCCAGTTGATTGAGTAAATATTATTTTTATTATACACATACAAAACTGATCCTTATGTACGTATTTATATGAATTACTCCACTGGACGGGCATCCCGCTCCTGAATATGTCGTATGACAATGTTTATGGTTTGGATAGATTCCATTATCTTACGTTCCTTTATCGCCTTATGACTCAACCGCATCATTAGATAGTTGGTCTGAAACAGTGTAATTGGGCTTTTATTACATAGTATACATAACTTATGCCTTTTTCCCATCGTGGTAGGTAAAGACACAGTCTTCCACTTGCTACGGTCCTCATTATACGACACACATCATTCGCCCCATCAACACGCATCAACGCTTTCATGAACACGCTCAACGGCTAAAGGTACTCTTGACCAGGCCCTTTTTTAGGATGGCTACAATTTGGTTACGGTAAGTTCGCCTTGGTCGGCCCTTACCAACTTGCCCGCTCACACTAGCCTTATTAAATCTGTTTCGTCAGTCTTTTTTCATTGATTCATTGCGGCTAGTACTGATAATAAACACTAGTAGTTAAATTATAATTATAACTTTTTTAAATACTTCCAATTATGTGAATAAATAAAAATAATAACCCCATTGTCGAGCCCCACTTCAGGATTTCGGCAAGTTTTGCTTCAAGTCTCTCCAAAAAAACTAAAGCAGTATAGTGCGCATATGTAAATATTTTGCCATTTATTAGAGACGGCTGACACAAGTTATGTATATAGATTATTAATAGACTTGGTCCGATTATACTACCTTGAGGAACTCCAAAAAGAAACAGATGCATCGGTATTAAGATGTTCACCAATTTTTACTCTTTTTTATAAATAAACATGCCTAATCTAAAACACCTATAAATTCATAAAACATAATCCTTTGAGATAGGCCTAAGGTTCAAATTTACACGGGACACCTTAATCCTAATTCATGGCTCTATAACAGCAGGTATTCAATTACGGTAAATACATTTAAAAATGTAAGAGTCTCCCCTTGAGCGTACGGAACCGCAGCATTAATGAAATTGACTTCCCCGGGGAAAGAACTCTGGCCCCTCAGTTACCAGTGTACCACCCCTGACATTGAGAGGCGACCGCATTGTTTTGAAACAAAGGTATCGATGGTTTATCGAGTTAACGAGACCTCCCGAGGTGTAAAGTTTATGACTTTGATCTAAATAACGTTAAGATCAATGGAGATGTTTAATCCATCGTCTTTAACATAGTTACTGTAGGTTTAAGGTTCGGTTTCAATTTAATTCCATTTACAAAGGAAGTAAATGATACCAGTAACAATAATTTGCGAGCAACATTTCGCACGTAGGTGTAATACGAGTACCTCGGGTACAAAGACGGTGATGCTCTTTCCAGTCGCAAGAAGAAGTTTAGTACCAAAACATTGTATTAATGTGTGAAATTTTCCACTACGAGAAAAGTTTAGCAATCCTCTGTGAATCCGAGCTTTTAAAAGTTTAGCAATCCTCTGTGAATCCAAAGCTTTTACGAGCGATGACATAATCTCATCATCAAACGTCATACACAAGGGAGCTGTAAAGCGCTCAGAATTTCCTAATTTTAATTAATTCCAACTGCAGCTAAAAGTCAACTCGCATAACTCTCCACCAGCCATTTTGGCTCGACCCTTAAGCTAAATCTTGTCTACAAACGCCTGCTAAAACTTAACGACTTCATACATCCACGTCTACAGTTACAATGGGGCTCGTAAAATTAATACCTTACCTCCAAAACGTCGGGTTGCCTCTCTAGATGGTAATTTCCCCTTAAATATTTAAGTTTTCTGTGCACCCTCCATCCGCAACAAGATTCAATTTCACGCCGAAGAAAGGGGTCCGTTTTGGGCGATTCTCGGCTCCTCAAATGTCAAGAGACAGACAAAACCAACCAATTAAGATAGGTCTCCGGAAATGTCACAAATTCTCCAGTTGAAATTCAACATATTGAGTTAAAGGAGGGCAAGGTAGGTCGTATAATGTTGGCGACAGTAAGAACCACTTGAAGTATTATTCGGTTGCATACAGAATGGCAACGTTGGGAACTCAATTGAATCAATCTTGCGTCAAATTGTGAAAGTTGGGGAGTGTACGTTTTCAATTTAGACTCATTATGCCACCACAGTTTTTTGTGCCTTATTTTTTAAATGATCACCTGGAAAATACATTTTAAAGCGATTTTTTGTAGGTTCAGTATTGTGTCTCTTAATTATATCACTGTTATTTTTTAGCTGTTATTACTAATACAAAAATCGGAAACGGAAATATGGATCTGCAATATATGTAGATGAAATCTAGTAATTTACTAGAGTCCAACATCGAACTTTTGACAATTGTTAACCTTTTTGTAAAGTAAATGGATTTGTTGTGTTGTGTGTACATAAGCATAGCAATACCATACACCTATATCTCGGCCAACATCCACATGAATTCATCTCCGACCTTACTTATGGTTCCGGTTAAACTTGGTTCTAAAATTAGCATGCATAATCCAATCCATTAATCCTGTCTTATCTATCACAATGAAGGGCCACGGAAACTTAACATTCGTGTCTAGTTTCCGAATTTCAAAGCACATTTAATTGTAATCAAGAATCCAACTCACGTAATCGATATGATCTCTTAAATCATACGTGCTATCAAGCTTCATGATTAATATGATTTCGTGCTTTGTTTCAATAAACTTTTGGCGTGAAATTGCATTGTTTGTTAATACTTTTGTTAGTGATATGATCAATGATAACGTTTATTACAATAATTTCTTTCAAACTTTTGCTGGATTGTACGTACCACATTTAGGTTTCTGTGGTACGAATAATAAATTATGATTAATAGAAAGATTCTTTTTAAAATAACAAGAAACCACGATGTTTTATTCATTATATACAATACAGATGGACGTTTCTTCTTACTAGTAAAATGTGCGAAAAAAATATACATTACATGATTAAAAACTAAATCAAAAATATTCAACAACTGCCTCGGTGGCTGAACAGTTATCATGCCGGACTACCAGGAAGAGGTTCAAGGTTCGATTCCCGGGCCGGGAGAAATATTTGTATGGCCTACATTTATATCTTTTATGAGTTTGGGTGTAATTTGTGATTGTCTATATGTGTGTCCATTGTACCCGCGACACAGGGTTTCCCTGGTGCGGGGCTATGTTGAGTGTGTGCGTTATTTATTTATTTATTACAAATAAATAATTACAAACAAAATTAAATTAAAACAAACATTATTCACATGAATATAAACAAGGACACTAAGTACAAAGATATCTTTTATATTATCCTTTTATTATTATTAGTACTTGGCCGTATTCCAAATACTACACAAGATTTCTTACATCCC